GAGCTGTATGTTTTGTGGGAAGATACCTTGGTAGGAATCATATCCAGTCCTGCCAATTTTGCTTTGGTCCAATCTACTGTGCCATTGAACCGACTCAGCCCCCTTGGCCTTGACCACTGCTGGCATGTGCCTTTCAGAGGCCCCTCCCTAATTGGAATTTGGCCTAAGGTTTAGAAAGTATTTTTTACAACTGGCATGGAATAAAAGGCAGAAATGGGGGTGGGAGATAGGAGAGACCAGTTTTCACATAAGCCACATAATTGTCACAGATAGAGAGAAATTCCCAGTGTCTGAGTGTGTAGAATGATTGCACACTTCACACCTTTTTGAACAAACCTTTCTAGGTGAAGGCGAGCACAAACAGATCTTTGTATAAAGGTTTGGCAGAGTATTTCCTATAAGTAGAACTGTATCTGAGCGTTCAGCCTAGAGGTAGGCGTTGCACCACAGCCTCTCCCAATTTGAAGAGACCTTTGTCCAGCAGGCCAAGGCAAAGAGGCAGTCCCAAAACCAGCAAAATCAGGGAGCTGGACGGGTACAGATTGTATTTGTCTTCAGTGTAGAAGGGATTGAATTGGCCTCAAATTGGCCTTCTCAGCCACACTAGACCCTCTTCCAAGTCCTCCATACAGAGCACATTACCATAGTCTTTCGAGACTGAAGGATGCCTAACTACGTCAAATAGTAGAAGGCCATAGTTTTTCCCTGCAATTACTGCCTTTATAGATGATACTTTGTGAAATTATTTAAATGAGTGCCTGTGCCTGACACCTTGATATGTCCAACTGCCAGTTTGTTTAGGTGATGGCTGTCGTTTATTACATCTTCAATTCCCCCCCCTTTTCTCTTTGTCTCTCTGTAATTTCCATTGATTCAATGGGCTTATTCTGGTTTTGACTTGCTACATTAAGCAACAGGATTTTAGGAGTTCTATAGCACATACGGTATGTTTAGAATTATAGTTTCTGTATGCCTAACTAATGTATCCATAGTGGAAATATGAAGCACTCAGTGGAGAAGCATAGATGATTTTCTGCACATTTTCAAATATGATTTTTGTTTAGTTTTTGTTGTTTTGTGATTTCCTTTTGTGCGGTACTGCTAATCAGATGCTTCAGATGGCTAAATCAAGTTGGATATTAACAGTGGCACATCAAGAAAAAAACGGTCCCTGTAGAAGTTGCAATTTCCCTCTCTCCTCTTCACATGCTACGTTTTACTGTGCTTTCTAATTTGTAGTACTTTCGTAATGGACCCTCGCTTGACTTCACTCAAAATGAAGCACTTACTGATTATTAAAAAAAAGAAAAGAAAGAGAAGAGGGAAAGAAAGATAAAAAGGAGGTAGAGGGAGGGGAAACACGCACATGAAAATTCCATTTAGAGGCATTTCAAATCACTTTGAACAGTATGAGCCTGGGACCCTAATCATTTCAAAAGTGAAGAGCTGTTGGAATTTTCTGGGGAAAGGCTTCCATTTAAGTAACTCAGTACTGCATTTCCCCAGTTGTCTAGATATTTGAGAGTCCTTCATCCTCGAACTGAATGTCAGAACTGGACGTGACTCAAAAATGCAATGCTCTTCACAATCAACGCACAATTTGGAGAGGGTTTCAACTTAAGTTGAGATTGTTCTGTGCAGTAATGCCAACGTTTTGTCTGTTAACCTTCAGGTTGTTCTGTAGATGCAGCAACATGTGATACCAAATGGCATGCTTTTCCCTTTCCCTCCTGCCCACTGTGTGTATGCATGTGTGTGCATTTAATGAAAAGAGGGGCAGGAGAAAGGTAGAGGATTAAGGTGCCTATCCTGCACTTTTTTCCACTGTTACTTGTATCCTCTGAGCCTGCAGGTGTCTTCTACTGCCCCTACTGCCCTCTCATATCCTATAAGAGCAACCCTCTGAGCCTGCAGGTGTTTTCTACTGCCCTCTCATATCCTATAAGAGCAAGAACTGTTCTCCTTTCTGAAGTCACTGCCATGGTGGCAAGACTTCCCATTTTTTAATATGGATGTGAGTTATACAGCTCCTGCTCGTGGTCCTGCACGCATCTCCAGATAAAGAGCAGTTCAGGTCTCACGGAGTGCCAGTTTGAAGATCCTTTGATGGTTATGGTTAGCCAGTCATCTTTAGTCAGCAGCTTTGCAACCACATGATGCTAAACCTTTTTTTGGCACTAAGCTGAATTTGTGAGGCAGGCAGGCAAACAACCAGGCTTAAAGGTGGTAGTCGGTCATTATTCCAAGTCCATTCTGTGGCATGCGTCTAGCCTGGAAAGAAGCAAGGCCAGAGCAGGGCTTTTTACAAAGCCATGTTAACAGGCACATTTCATTAAAAAGTGACCAACTTTGCTGCACCTCCATTTTAGAAGTTATTTTATTTATTTGCTTAAATAACTACCCTTCCATCTGAAAGTGCTTAAGATGGTTCTATCCTTCTTTTTGTAAACATATGAGAGGCATGAGGAGGACCAGTGCACTGTCAAGTCACTTTCATCAAACTGACAGCAACCCTACAACATTTCCAAAAGGTCCTGTCATTGGTAGCTCTGCAGAGGTCTTGCAGACTAAAGATTGTGGTTTGTCTTGCTGAGTGAATAGCTTTCATATTAGGTCTTTCCTGCCTTCCATTTTTCCTTGCATTATTTTGTCTTTTCCAGTGAGTCTGATATGTCCTGAGTACAATAGCCTCAATTTAGTCATTTTAGCATCTACTGAGAGTTCCAGAATGGGTTTGAGATAATGACCGGCTAGCACTTTTAAGCCTGCCTGCCTTACAAATTCAGCTCAGTGCCAGGAAAGGTTTAACATTATGAAACCTAATGGTTGATTTGTTCCAGAACCCACTTACAGTATTTGTCTTTCTGGTGGTCCAGGGTTTATGTAAACCTGTCCTCCAACAGAGATGCCCAATGATGAGACAGTAGACCTCGGGGGCAACTGTTTGGCAGAAGGTGAAATCACAATACCAGATTATATAGGCATTCAGTAAAAGACTCATAGCTCCCTCTGGGGCAATTTATAAAGCTTACAGGAAGACTTTAATTGGCAAAATACTGTATCGCTAGTGGCTATTGATAGCAGTGTGGGGACCACACCAATGTACTCCACCAGCATAGTTAGGGAATCACTTCCCAAGCTTGGAAATTGTTGTCTTTGCACTGCAACTCCCAGAATTTCCCAGATAGCATAACCACAGGAGGATCTGGAAGCTGTAGCCCAATTATGCAGTTTGTCCAAGCTGTTCTCAATTTTCTATATATTCATGGCTGAATCTTGAATTATTTTAATTTGCACGGGTTGGGTATTGGCTTTTGTTGGCCTTAAAATGATACAGCAGAGGTACCAACAGTCAGAATTACTTCCTCCTCCTCCCTAACTCTCCCAACAACAAACTTGTTGTCTTTTATATCTCGGGACTTCCAGTTTCCAAGCGATATGTACATTTGCCATGAAAATCTAAACAGCAGCCCTTCTATCTTCAGTAAGGCTTCCGTTGCATTTTCCCAAATGCAAAGTGTGTTGATTTAACCCATCCCCTTCACCCCACCCTTGCGTTTGGCTATATGACATACTTCCAGGAAAAAGGATGCTTGTGAGACACTAGAGACATGCAATCTGCATCCTGCACATTTCAAAAATAATTTAAACAGCTGTGACATGCAAGAGGCATTTGGCACCAGTGGACTCAAAGCATCTTAAGTCAAAGCTTTATGACTGGTGGAGAAACCCACCAAGGAGAATTTCATCTCAAAACAAGTAATGGGTCCTGAAATGCTACATTTTAAAGAGGAAAACAAATATTTGGTTTTTTAGTACAGCACATATTTCTCACAACTAGTCTAGCAAATATTACCACACACTTTGGTATTAGAGATAAGAAATATATAATCATCATCTTAGAAATGCATTGCTAGAAGGGACCCTATGGGCCATCCCGTCTAACCCCTGTCACGGAGGCTCAGTGAGAAATTGAACTCCCAACCTCTGGTTCCACATGGTTGGTTCAAGGAGTTGTGTTACACAGACAGTAGTTCTTTTAAGTATGTTCCTCTTGTAACCATTTCTTTAAACAAAAGCACATACAACCAAGATACCATGAATCCCTGATCTAGAGATGCTTTTGCAACAAAGGATTGTTATGTGTGATGAATCAGAGACTCAGAGACCAGTGTGTCCATGTGAAATGCTTTCATGCTTTTATGAAGGATGGGGTTTTGTTTTTACATTCAATCAGTAGATTCTTCCACACTGTGGATTGATGTTTCAGGGGTTCCTGTGAAATTTGAGGAAACTTTTTTTTTATAAAAGATTGCCACAAGACACACACCCCCTTTGTGTGCAATATATCACATACAGTTGTTGTGAAACAGACCTGTGTAAAGATATCAGGTATACAAATGAAAGATGGATAATAGTTTGCATCTGGATGCTGAATCATATCTCTATGCATTGCTGGAAGGAGTAAACAAATAAATTGTTGAATAAATAAACAAATCCCTTGTGCTATACCCACTTAAAGATGCATGAATTGAAAGAAAAACACTAGAATATTCTTCTTGACTGGCTGGATAGCTCAGTGAATTAAATATCTGTCTGGGAGTTTGATTCCCCTCTGTGCTTCCTGGGAAAAGAGTTAGCTTGCGCAGCCTTAAGCAAGGTGCACAGTCCCAATGTGCCCCCTGAAAAAGGGAAAGGTGAACCACTTCTGAGTTTTTTCTGCCTAGAAAACCTTAAAAGGTGCTACCATAAGTCAGAATTGACTTGATGGCACACAGTTAATTAATTGCATTTCCATATAAAGAAGAATCCCACAGCAGATACCACACACAAAAAACATATGTGAATTTAAATCCAGATGCAGAAGGATCTTGTGTGCAGAAAGACTGGCTGTATCCTTTGCATTGATCCCTTGCCCCATTCTATAACCCTATTGGCTTAGTATGTGAAATGTTAGATTTTGCACCAGTTTCTCACTTACATGTTTGTTCCTTCTACAGGTGGATTTAGGTCTTCTCCGCTTTGTTTCTGCCATTGGGACCCAAGGAGCCATTTCTAAAGAAACTAAGAAAAGATATTTCTTGAAATCATACCGAGTGGATATCAGTTCCAATGGAGAAGACTGGATTTCAATTAAAGATGGCAATAACAAACCTTTGGTAAGCTGTTTTATCAACACAATACTATTAACTACCCATGGGTTTCTCAAATGTTTTATTACAGTCATTTCTGCTTGGAGTGAGCATCACTGCCCGTATTTCTTGTTTTAATACATAATTAGAAACAGAGAGAAACTTCCAAGCTGCTCAAAGGTTGGAATGATAGCACACTGAAGAAACATTACTTCTTTTAAAATATGCTGTATTTCTTGTTTTAATACATAATCAGAAACAGAGAGAAACTTCCAACTCAAAGGTTGGAATGATAGCACAATGAAGAAACATTACTTCTTTTAAAATATGCTTCCCCAATTTTTTTTTCCTTAGCCAAGAATTTGTGATGCTGCAGTGATATGCCCTTCCTAGGGAGAGTTTGAGCGCACTGTCTTTCATCATCTACCAGCTGAAGAAATATTAGCAACATTAAGTCAGTCTTTCCCAGTCTGGTGCTTTCCAGATGTGCAGAATTGCCTTTGGTTGGACTGGCTAGAAACAAAAGGATCTGCAGACTGACACTCCTCTTGGCTGGGGAAGTTTGATGTAAAAGATCAGCACAGTCAGAGAATTATTCTGATGCACTGTTTTTTAAAAAAAGCAACCACTGTTTCAGCAGACAGTAAAAAGCTACAGTGAAAGATTCTAGACTGCTGTTCTCAAAAAGTGTCACTAACCTATCTTAAATGTTATTGTTGCCTTTAGGGGCACTGGACCATACAAGGTTGGTACTTGAATAAACTTGTAACAGGGAAGTGCAGAGATAAATAAAAACAGAGGTAGAGATGGGGAAAATGAAGTTTTAAAATGAGGCATGGTGAGGATAAGTGCTAGACTTCAGTTGTTTGGTTAGTTATTCATTAGTCTTCAACTGGTGAATGTCTTGAAGGGGGGGCTATTAAATTCAAAAGAAACATGACTTCCTTTGCATCTGGTTTCCTTAAAAACCTAAGTTATCTAACTGTCCTACAGAGAAAAGGGTGGGAAACAGGAATATATGGCAAAATATTTTAAATCGGTCAATGATTGATCTCTTATATGAAAAGATTAAAAAGACCACTGAGCTAGTAAGATAGTGATTGGAAGTATGACACCAGTTCAGTACGATAGCTTACATAAAGGCAGTGCAATGTAAGCAATTTCCAAGTATTAGACTCTTATTTTATGCATTTTGTCTAGTGAGGGAAAATATTTCATATTTTTCAATTTTCCTGAAAGAACAAAAGCATTGGCATTATTCCATTTGATCAAGTTGATATTTTGTGCTCAATTTGGTACAAGTACTATCATATGGAGCAAGGTTAAACCAGGCAAATCCTCCACCCCTATTTGTGTTTTGATCAATCCTAAAAGTCTTACAAAAGGCAACGCTGGTATTTCTGCTGCACTTCCTTATCCCCCATAAGAGATAACAGCCTTGCTGTCTCATTCCGTTTGTCTTCTTGTACTGAAAGAGAGCCAAACGTTATCACAAGCCTTGGCCTACCTTACTTGTGCAATTAATATTAATAAGCTGAACAGATGGTTGGTAGTAAATAGAGTCAATGTTTTCAAGACATTCCTGCTGATACTCCTTTCATGGCCACTTCCTTCTCATTGAAAAAGGAAGAGCAATTGTTAGCAAGAGTGAAACAGATCAAATACATAAGATGCAATAGGATGTTTTCAAGACATTCCTCCTGATACTCGTTTCATGGCCACTTCCTTCTCACTGAAAAAGGAAGAGCAGTTGCTAGCAAGAGTGTGACAGAGGAAACAGATCAAATACATAAGATGCAATAGGGCAAACTTAGTGTGCAGCCATTTCCAATTGACCACAAAACGAGACAACTGATTATGGCTGCTTTGATAACAAAGATGAAGAGCAAGCTAAGTATACAAGTTAACAAGCTATAGTTTGTTTGCCCAGCTTCCTTTGGTAAACACTGCTCCGAGCAACGGACAAAACAGGAAGACTGGGGGAAGGTATAAGAAATACTTCCCATAAAAGGAGAAAAAGTTTAAGACCAGGAAATTGGCATTTAGTATTGTTTAATGAAAAAGGAAATTAGTCATTTTCCTTGAATTTTTCCAGGAGATTGTGTGACTGTCTTGCGGTAGGATCTACTCAAATACAGTAGCTGAAGCCAAAGTATCTTATCGTTACATACCTTTATTATTTCCATTGTTTGAAAGAGAGGTAGCTGAAGAGTAAGGAGAGAACTATGTGGAATTAATACATGGTCAACAAATCTAGACTGTTTCATAAAAAAGATCTTACAGATTATATTAGGAGTTCTGCAGAAGTGAATTATCTATAAAATGATAAAGCTTCAGGCTGTTTGAAAGACTGTATTATCCCATGCGAGCCTACCTGGGCTTTGAGATCAGCAAAAGAAATTCTTCTCTCAACCCTGTCACCCTCAGACACACTTTTGAAGGGAATGTGTGAGAGCGCCTTCTCAGTGGCTGCTTCTCTTCCAGAATAGATGAGGTTGATCCTTCCTGTTGCCATCACACAGCCAAGCAAAGACTTTCCTATTCCAGGCAGTCCTTTCACAACTGACTGAATTCTAAGGAGTGGAATTTTTAAAGAATGCAATGCTCTTTTCCAGGTTTTAGTTGTAATTATTACTATTTTTAAATTTTATTTTATTTATTTAAAATATTTTACTCTGCCTTCCTTCTTAAAAAGGATGATTTGCTTTATAAGACAATATTTAAAGCTAACATCAGTAAGTATACAAACTGTACTGAAAAGGATCAAACACATACCATACTGAAGGATGTAAACAGAAGCAACCAAAAACATGTTCAAATTAGTAAGGCACAACAATCCATTAAAAAAACTCCACTCAGGAAATCTGTCACTAAGGAAAAGCATGCCTGAAGAGAAAAGTCTTTCTCTTCTTACAGGAGGACAGCAAACATGGGGCCAGCCTAGTTCCCTGTGGGGGGGAGTTTCACAGTATGGGAGCAGCAACAGAGAAGGTCCTCTCCTGCCAAACAGACTTGCGAAAGTGGTGGGATCAAGAGAAAGGCTTCTCCTGATGATCTTAACTCCAGAGCAAGCTCATAAAACTAGATGTGGTCCCTGAGATAGCTTGGACCCAAACTGTTTAGGGTTCATAGGTTAGAACCAGCGCTTTTATTTTAATTGAGACATTTTACATTGTTTTTAAACTTCCTTCTATTTTACTGGGGGAAAGGCAGGATATAAATCAAATAAATAAGAGAAACAAGAGTTTTTTTTTATAATTTGTATGACTTAACAGTCTTCAATCTTGGGAATATGTGATACAAATTAAATGCCTAGAATCAAGTAAACATTATGAAAACCTCTCTGGACACCACACTTCAAGAAGGATGCAAACAAACTAGACCGTGTTCAGAGGAGGGCAACAAGGATGATCAGGGGACTGGAAACCAAGCCCTGTGAGGAAAGAATGAAAGAACTGGGTGTATTTAGCCTTGAGAAGAGATGACTGAGGGGAAATATGATAGCACTTTTCAAATTCTTGAAAGATTGTTATACAGAAGAGGAGCAGGATCTGCTCTTGATCATCTTGGAGTGCAGGACATGTAAGAATGGGTTCAAGTTTCAGGAAGCCAGATTTAGGCTGAATATCATGGAAAAAACTTCTTAACGGTTAGAGCAGTATGACAATGGGACCAGTTACCTCCCTGCTAATATGGAGTAAATGCTTTGTAGAGTCTGTGCTGTTAATTGAGACAAACTTTCATATGAAAAAGCATGTCTTCCTCTCTTTCTGTAGGTTTTCGCAGGAAACACCAATCCCACTGATATTGCTTACAGACCTTTTCCCAGGCCAGTCCTCACACGTTTTGTTAGAATCAAACCTGCAAACTGGGAAACTGGGATATCACTGAGATTTGAAGTGTATGGCTGTAAAATTACAGGTGAGAGCTGTTCATGAACTGTTAACTATGCTGATTTTTCAAATATTTCATGGCGTGTCAGTATAAAAACCATAAAATGTTTCATAAGTATAGAGTAAGAGAATACCTATAGAAGGGATACCGTTCTAAACAGACTTACCGTATCTAGAAATAATCTACTTTGAATATAGTGAGACTTCCTTCAGAGTAAGCACAAGGAACTGTGCTGGAGAAGAATCCTCACTGCTCCACACACAAAATATCTGCACATTTTCTAAAGAGAGACAAATCTATGAAATATGATTATTGTTGTGTTATTCCAGTTTCCAATAACAAACAAACAAATGATTTTCCCAAAGGACATAGAGCACATAAACAGCCTGCTTGGGATACAAAAGAAGTATATCTATACAGTCACTGCAGTTTGATATCATTTTAATTGTCATGGCTCCCTCCTACAGAATCCTGGGATATGTGTGCAGTCATATATGTACATATACACAATATAATGTTGTACTATGATTTACAGTTGTATTTTGTTGTTATCATCAGATTATCCTTGCTCTGGCATGCTGGGTATGGTATCTGGGCTGATCCCTGACTCCCAGATTACTGCATCAAATGAATTTGACCGAAACTGGCTCCCAGAAAATGCCCGTCTTATAACAAGCAGAGTAGGATGGGCATTACCCCCATCGGCCACACATACGTATGGAAAGGAATGGCTCCAAATAGATCTCGGTGAAGAGAAGATAGTGCGGGGCATAATCGTCCAGGGAGGCAAACACAGAGAGAATAAGGTCTTCATGAGAAAATTCAAGATTGGATACAGTTACAACGGATCAGATTGGAAGTGGATTATGGATGCCAGCAAAAAGAAGGCAAAGGTGAGGTTGAAATCAATGTGTGTGGAAGAATAGGTGCAGGAGACGAAGTACATGCTTTGTATGCTAAGGACTCAGATTCCATTTATAGCATCTCCAATCTGAAACGATCAGATAGCAGTTAATGTAAAAGACTGCTGTCTTCAGCTCTTTATCTAGATAGGTGCTGATAGTCAAAGTAGGCTCCAGCAGGCTAGAAGTGTAGTCGGGTTGGAATAAGGTGGTGACCTATGTACCTTTAAAAGATTTTACAGTGTTATAGCTCTCTGCAGAAACTGAAACAATAGATTTGATGCATTTAGCAGAGAATGTAGTTTCAGGCATTCTCATGTGGCCGTATACAAATGAGAAAAACATATTAAACAGCAGGAAGATCTTCATTTAGTAGAGAGGAAAAACACTACTGCTTTGGTGTATCTTCCACCTAGTTGTCTCCCACTGGAAACTGACAGGGTTTCTCTTCTACACAGAATGGCAGTCGAGTCACAGGTAGTTTAGAGTAGCAAAAATAGTTTAGCTTCAAGTAAACCAGAACTATATTTTTATTATCTAGTCAATCTTTACAGCTATTGCTAGCAGAAAATTTTGTTTAACCCAAAACATATTAGCTAGATTCCTTTTGCAAATGTTTCGCAACCAGTAGTGATTCTATGCTATATTATTTTGTTCTGATTACAGTACAGTGATTTTGTATCATCTGACTTGCCCCATTCTCCTATTTCCTAATCCATTTTTTTCTTTTTGTAAATATATTTTGGATCAGTGAAGTAACATAAAAAGTTGACTAAATTGGAGACTTGGGTCATTGTCAAACATCAGGGCTGACATTAGTCTGCAGAACCCACTCATTTTTATTTTGCCAATTCAAGTGACTAGACTTTGAAAAAGTTACTTCTATGGGCTACAGCTCCCAGAATCTTCCAAGGCGTCATGGCTGTTCTGGACAACTGGGGAAGAGATGTGGAATTCTAATTGTCAAAGAACGGATAACACAAAATAATCCAGTTGTAAGCGTTAGTACAATTTTCAAACAGATACAGCCTCTGACCATATATACCACCCTGAGAGCTTATTTGATATTCTATATCCCTTAAGCAGCCATCTGTCTTGAAGATATAAAATGTTCTTTGTTTTGCATGAGAAACAGCTTTGTTCTGTAGAAACAGAAGGAGGGATTGGGTGACAAGAATTTAGAAGTGAATGCTTTTCCAAACCAAAACATTGTGAGATTTGTATACTGTGAGAGAAAAGCCGATTCTAAAGAGAAAGCATTGGCTGCTTCAGTTTTTCCTGACTCAGCATAATTGGAAAATAGACATGCCCAAACCCCAATTTACTGTATGGTGGCTGTTGACATTCATAAATGTGGGGATGCTATTAATTCTTGAGCTTTGACTACCTTCCAGTTTCATATTTTATTTCTAGACTGTAGTTTCTCTGCAAACTATTGGAAATATGTTGATAAATTCTTGGTCTACTGTAGCTGTATTAGATCTCTGTTCATTATGTATGCCTCCTGCCCTACCTCCAGGAACAGTAGGGTGGTCCGCTGTTCTCATGCCGTTTTATCTTTACAATGACCTTATAAGGTATGCTAGGCTGAGAGATAGCGACTGGCCCAAGATTATCAGTGAACCATCTGTGTTGGAATGTGAACCCAAGGTCCACTATTGCTACACCATACTAACTATTCTTGAACAGCTGCATCCATTTTTTTTCTAATTTCTCTTGCAAATAAATGCAAAAGCGAATCTGTTTTCAAATGACCTTGATATTGCAAGTAAAGGGCTCACCATAAAGTGTGAAGAGTAAATAAATCCAACAATAAGACCTAACCGCTTGTTTTCATTCCAAAATATGTGTTGTTTTGACATATTATTCCAAACCCCAGAGAAAATGTAGAGCACCATATGCTTTTAATGTGACATACCTTATGCTGCTTGGCCTTCTGGTATTAAACTCAAGGCAGTTGCCATCACTGTCAAAAACTAGCAGTCTTGACAAAAATGAATCCTGGCAAACACATTGAGACCACTCAGAGTTTTCATTTCTAACAGAAATAAGCTTCAGAGATTAGTACTTTTTTAAAAAAATGAGATTGTGTAACACTCATAATCCTACTAAAATATTCAACAGATTTAATAATATTTCTTCCATGGGAGAATATGATAAATTCTTGGGATTTAGGAGCCTGCTGGATATTAAAGCAGGACCTAGGTATTTTAAAAATATTAATCAAGCTTGGCTGTACGCAACAGTAACTACACTGATTACAATAATAAATTAAAAGTAGTTCTGCTTCATGAAATGAAATACAATTTACTTACTATTTTGTTAGAAGAAAAGCACTATTTGATACAGCTATACCAAAGAGCTGTAATGTACAATTTATTTAATAAATGTTTTAATAAATTAATAAATATTTATCCTGAATAAAGATATTCAAAGTGACTCAAGGTAGCAAAAATGCAATGCAAAACATGGCCAGTAGAATAAATATGTATTGTAACATGTGTAAAATAAGGAACACTATTTATGTGCACGGAACTTCAACTGAAAAAGCTGCCACAGCTATCTGATGAGATTCCGGTTCCATGCTCATTCATGTTCTAACAGGATACTGCCCATTGAACAGGATATTGGCTGCTATGTTTTTAATTGCTAACATCAGGATCATCAACAGAACAAAGTCAATGAAAAAGACTATCAGTGGGTCTTCAACGCTCTTCTGAAGATGAGCAGGGAGTTAGCCACCTAAGTCCACCAGGAAAAGTGTTCTATAACCCAGGCACAATTACAGATATGTTCCAATCTCTCATTGGGGAGACATGCCAAACATCTGATTGTGACAGGCACAAACCACAACCCCAGACATTTATTTTGATAGTACTGTTATTTGTTCAGCTCTGAAACTGCTTTTTGAAATTTCAATCTTATTTTTAAAAAGTTTCTCATGAAGTTAGTTTTATTGGTGGGGCATATGGAAGTTTATCCTTTTGCACTAAAACAGAGATCCGGTACTAGACCTGCAAAAAAAAATCTGTATTCTCAAGACTCGGACCCTACCACTCACTGTAGCAAATGCTGAGCTAAACAGACTAATGATGAGACCTGTTCAAAGGCAGCTTTATTGCACCTCCACTACCACCCTCATTGCAAATACATTTTAGTCTCCCTGAAACTATCTAATAAACTTAGTGGTAGATGAAATAATACTGTCTTTCTTCCCCTCTTCCCATTCTCAAATGATCACTGTGTATGAATGAACAATCATAATTAAATCACAGATAGGTCTAGACTACACAGCTGAAACAAGACAATGATTCAATGTAATTAGGATTCAAGGGACCATTAAACGTCTGTTGAATTCTGTGCCGGTGTGTCAGTACATCGTTCTGAAATCTTTAATAGAAAAATTTCCATTATTATATAGTGCTATTTAAACGATAATTAAGGTTGGCTTCCATAGTTACAGTTGCCTGCACCTATACTATAAAAATCATTCCATTTCATATCCATTCTCATTCAGTTGCAGACTTTTATGATATTGGAAACAAAATTTGATTATAAAATAAATCCTAAGTAAAAAGTATAAGCAGCCACACCTTCCTAATCCTCTTGAATGACATGTAGTTACTGAATGACCTCAGATTCTACTGGATTGAGTCTTTGAGGTTTCATCCCCAAACACTCTCTTGAGTATGTTCAGATTTTATTCAAAATAAAAATGGATTGTGCAGTTGAGAATGTAACCCTTTTTAAAACAGTCATCCCTTGACTCCCTCTGTCAAGAGTTAATTATTTCCTTCCATTCTATTTTTATTTCCTTCTGTTCTTTTCTTGAATACTATGCCATTCCTTCGGTGTTCCCATATTTTCCTTTACCAAACACAATTTGTGTAGATACTGCAAGCAATCGCTAATGCTAACCATGAAAATCAAGGGAAATAGTAACCAATCAGAGGAAATACCACAGATAATGCTATTCAGTAGCTGGCCCCCAATTCCCAATTAATAGTTTCCAAAGTGTGACCCTTAACATCTGCACTGGATGCTACAGATCACGATCTGAAGACTCACAATGCAGTTTCCTTGGAGTTGAAGGAGCAAGAAATAAGTTGAAGTGCTGCCTCAGGACTGTGAATAACTTGCCATTTTCCCAGGCTCTTTTGAGGGAACGGGGCTTCATAAATTGGAGCAAGAGCATGGGCCTCATCCCAAGATCTTATTGGTTATCGAAACTTCTCTTATGCACCAAATTTGGTCTGTGAGCTAGAAGCTCCTCAGTTTTGACCTATACCTCCTATGTCGCCTAAGTATAATTAAGGTCAGGCAAAATTAATGATAGCAGCCCCTGGGAGCATCATTACCTTAAACAGCCAAGAATTTGGTACAGTAAATTAGCACCATATTTGAAATAACTAGAATGCATTGGCTGCTTTGAAGTAGCAACTAGCGAAACAAGCTGGAATAAAAAGAATATTAATTTCCTTCCTATTATAGCCTCTTATAAACTATAATTACATGCAATCAGGTTGATTCTGGTGACCCTTTCCAGGGTTTATACCTAGAAAAGCCTGGAAGGGTATGCAGGACTCAGGAATAAAGTATTCAGGAATTGTTTACTAGTCCCACCTTTTGATAGCACTCTGAGGCTGTGCAGCTTGACCAAGGCTACATGGGCAGCTAAATATGTAACCTCATCAGACACATGCAGGTCATATTGTCTGGCTCTTTCCCCAGGAGGTGGGGTGGAGATCTGACCTCCCAGCCTCCATGTTCCAGCCTATTGAGCTATGTCAGTGGTTTCCAACCTTTGATCCCCAGATGTTCTGGGACTATAATTCCCAGAAATCCTGGCCAGCACAGCTAGTGGTGAAGGCTTTTGAGAGTTTTAGTTCAAGAACATCTGTAGATCCAAGGTTGGGAACCACTGAGCTATACTACACAAGTCCCAAAATTACCTTGGATGGAAACGGGGGTATAAACCTTGTACAGTGGACCCTCTACTTAAGGAATTAATCCGTATTGGAATGGTGGCTGCAAGTCGAAAAGTCTGTAAGTCGAATCTCCATTGACCTACAATGCACTGAAAACTGATTAGTCACATAACCAGTGGTTTTTATTCTATTTTTATTCCATTTTGGGTTTTTTCTGGTCTGTAAGTCGATTCTCTGGCTGCAAGTCGAATCTAAATTTTGCAGCCAGAGAAGTCTGTAACTCGAAAAGTCTGTAAGTCGAGCTGTCTGTAAGGGGTATAAACCTTGTATGTTCTTCCCATCATTCTTTCTTTTGGTGTCTGCTTTGTTTGAAGGTCTCTAGGTTTTAAGGGTCATTTAGGAGGAATGTGCTGTGCTAGGTAGTGTGCCGTTCCCTTCCTAAAACCCTTTAGTACAGCTTCAGTTCTTATCAAAATATGGTGGGGAAGAAGGAAGATTAAAAACTGGAAGTTCCATAAATTCGCCTGTGATCTTCAGTCTAGATTCCAAAGGAGAGCGAGTGATTGTAGTTGAGCCAGCTTTTGTTACTTGGAATGTAAAACAATACACATGCGGTTCTTGTTTCTGGGTGTCTCTGCATCTTTTATTGCTCAGTCTACAGTTAGTTTTTGCTTGGAACAGAATTTCCAAGTTAAGATGATAAAGAAATAGGACTAGATACATCAGGAGAACTCAACATTTGGAGTAGTAGGGGGCGTTGGTTGGTGCTCTGAAACCTAGATTTTGCTATGGTATTTCTCTGACAATGTACGGAGTGGGGACTCATAGTTCTATTATGGATACTGATTCCTGTTCATTTGTATTGTCATTCATGCATCATCAAATAACTGATTCCTATTTGGGGATTAATCCCAAAACATACTAATCAGTCACCAAGGGTGCAGAGGATGTTATTCAGTCCAGGCCTATGAAGATTGCTGACAGTGGTAGGATTATAATAAACTGAGCACATGAAATAGACTTCTGGGCAGAGAGTGTCTACTCCTGCACCAAATAATGCCAGAAACATTCAGTGGTGGATTGAAGAATCCCTACCCAGAAGCAGCTCCACCATGGAACTGCCACCAAATGGAAGCATTTCTCAGTGGACTCTCTGTGGCTATTGTAATGTAAAACAGATGAATGTAGAACAATTAAAAGGCCTGATGGGGAAAAGGAGGAAGAAAATGGATGGCTTCCATGGTATGGCATTTCCACCAGAGACATTTAAATGTCTATATTTTTTTCCCTTTGTATCTCTCTGTTGATATCACATACAACCCCATAGCGCAATGTCAAACATTAATATTTATTTTAAATCATATTAATCCACTGGAAGAAGGAAAGTCTATCAGACATTCCTGTTTGTGTGGCAATAATGGTGATTAGCACTTTATGAAGCTTGTCTTTCAGATGTCATTTGTTCACAAGAAAGTGTGCAGGTCATGAGGTTTAAATGGACACACTGCAAATGGTTGTTGTGGGTTTTTCGGGCTCTTTGGCCATGTTCTGAAGGTTGTTCTTCCTAACGTTTTGCCAGTCTCTGTAGCTGGCATCTTCAGAGGACAGCACTCTGTGCTCTGGTGTAGTTGGCTTGGGAGTCCAGTATTTATGACTGTGAGATAGGCTTTTGTCTTTTTCTGTAGATGGGTGATTAGTGTCTCAACTAATGTTGAGTCAAGCATTTGCAAACACTGCAAATGCTTGACTCAACATCAAGAAGAGTGGTTTCAGACCAGTTCAGTCCTAATTGAAATTTGTGTCAGCAGTGGAGAAGAAGTGACTGATGGCTACATAAAAAAATGTCTTTCCAGTTGACTTTGTTCTCACTCACCCTTGACAGTGTCGAACACAGCATAGCAAAGTCAGTGATCCACATTTTATTTAAGTTCTCAGACCATATGCTTTGGAAGCATATTGGCAGCTAACTTTTCCTGGGGTTTGTAAAGTTTAATTTGTGCCTTTGCAATGTAACTATAATTTATAAGCCTCTGCACAAGTGGAGACAACTGGAGCCAAAGTTTCACCCTTGGCTGAGAAGAGTTACCCAACCAGTGACACCGTCTAGGCCCGAGGGACTCCTGTGCCCAAGTCATCCATGTGAATTCAAGACCCAAGCCTCATTTAAAACACGTCTCATTAAAACACTTGGCTTCTCTGCTGATCCTGAAGGACTGATTTGTAGAAAATGAAATATGCAGCTTCTCAGAATCATTTCACTATCCATTTCTCATTTTTGATTGTAAAGCCAGCTATCTGTAAAATATCTAGGACTTTGCTTACTTTTCAGCCAGAAATACCAGAGATGTGCAAAATCTCAGTAAACTTGCCATGTGATTATTAAACAAAAATGTGTCTCTGTGTGTTTATACGCTCTGCAGATTTTTGAAGGCAACACTAACTATGATACCCCTGAGCTCCGTACCTTTGAACCTATAACAACCAGATTTATCCGTGTTTACCCCGAAAGAGCCACCCATGCTGGTTTGGGATTGAGGATGGAACTACTGGGCTGTGAAATTGAAGGTAATTGCACGATGTAAGATTAATTATTTTCCTGCATGGTGTTTTTTCCTGCATTCTCTGCTTCTGCCTCCGATGAGTGAGAACATTGGGTCTGATCCTTCTCAATTTGCCATTAATGATATAATATCATACAGTACAGTACTCTAGTTTCCCAGCCCTAATATACTTGGTCCCTCCAGTGCTATATGATCTGTGAAACAAAGGCTCTAAGGCTTAGAGTTGTTGTTGAGCTATAACACTGCAGAAAATCATGCTAACAAAGTGAATAGGAGAAATATTTCTTCACTACTTCTTTTTTGCCTGTTTTGTTTTTTCTATACAGTATTGATTTGGAAGGGTAAGTGATGTGTGCCAAAAAATGTAAAATGGCACCTTCCAATAATTTCAGTAGGCTTTCTCCCTCCAGTGATGTCACCCAAATAAGCAAAATACTGTCCAGAGATGTTCCAAATCCATACAGAGCTTCCATATTTTACGTATTTGGCAGTAATATTCACCCTTATTATATAGGGTGAATATTACACTCTCTCACTTACTCACTCTTTCTCTCTCTCACACACACACACACACACACACACACACGCACGCACGCACGCACGCACGCACGCACGCACGCACGCACGCACGCACGCACACCTCATTTGTATGGGATCTGGCTAGATCCCTGTATGAGTCTGACTAGCCCCTGTGTCCTGATCTGTCTATGTAATCAAAGGATTACACAGACTTGCTTATTCTGCAAGGCTGGATCTACCATTAGGCAGGTTGAGATGCTGCCTAAGGTAGCAAATTTTAAGTAGCATGAACGGGCAGCAAATGGTTACTGCTCATTAAAGTTCCACTGATATGGATGACGAAGGTGCTTGTGGCAAACTAAGCTACATGGCTTCTTGGATACCAGGAACTTTGACCCAGAGAAAATGCATTGTGCTGGCTGGTACTGAGGCAGCAAAATGGCATGAAATAACTGTGCAGACCTGCCAGTTTTGCTGTGTGCCTGAAGCAAAGGTTTTCCAAAGCATTCCAGTCATGGCACAGTGAGGATACTGCAAATATTGAGGATATACCCTGCACCCTCTCTTTTTTGTGACTTCCTGTGCTGCAGACATTGTGAGTTCTGACTCAGTTTTTCTTCTGTTGGTGAATTAGAAGTCTGTTATTTTCAAATTTAGATCTTAAAAATCATATTTCTAACAAAATATTATTGTAACCCTTATACAGTATATTTTGTAAGAGGAAGTGATGAGCTGTTTATCTTTTTTTCCATGCTTTTTCCATATTAGTTGATAATAATAACCACCAGAGAGTTGATTTTACCGAATTTCCTGTTCTTTCCCCTGGACTTTAGCTTGAACACCACAAACTAAGTTAATGAGAGGGCAAAGGGCAGGAAATGGAAAGATGATAACTAGAAGAGATTTCCTGTGTGAAATGAAAGGTCTTGCTGCTGCAAGTGTGCTACTGCACACACTTGTGATGAAGCAGCCATGGAATATAATTTACCTGAGATTTTTGTTTCAGTACCTACATCGGTCCCAACTACACCTGACAGCAATCTTGTGGATGAGTGTGATGATGACCAAGCCAACTGCCACAGTGGAACAGGTGATGACTTCCAGTTGACAGGTGCAGAAACCATCCACATTCCACTGCAACACCATTTCATTCGAATCAATCCTCAGTTCCAATGTTTGTCTTGCCTTTATCACTCCTAATGACAGTTGCAGCATTTGCACACAATGGGTGATGAGGGGACATTATTGCTTTGACATATGTGAAAAATTAAGGTTGCCAGTCCGTCAATGAATTTTATTGATAAACGACATTTGCACACAATGGTCAATGAGGGGACATTATAGATATATTTGCTTTGACATATGTGAAAAATTAAGGCTGCCAGTCCGTCAATGAATTTTATTGATAAAAATCATCTGGTCAGTTAGTTGACTTTTGATCTGTAATTCAATCTATCATTTATTCTTCTGTTAATTCGTTATTAGATTTTGTTTTAGCTTCTTGGACTTAGTAGCTTTTTTAAGATTTTCAGATATTGAAGGAAGTAGGAAGTAATGTAGAGTTTATTAAACAAAAACTATCACTCTGTTATAGAGATGACCTAATAATATGCAGACTTCTGGTATTAGATTACAACTCCCAAAAATTCCAAAAACATAAATCTGAACAATTTGTTTTGTAGTCAAAAAACAGAAAACTGCACACCTCTTGTGGCAACCTACTTTGAGTACAATGTAGAAAGAGAATTAGTAAATTAGCAAGGCAAGGACTTATTTATGATTCTTCCTCATTTGTATGTATGACTAAAGCAAGAACAACAACAACAGAAGAAGAAGCTTCCAAAAACAGTTTAGTTGTCGGCCCTCAGTTGAGATCGACTTCTGCGATTATTGAACAAAAGTTTTAGTTCATCTACCAATTCAGTCAGTTGCAGTTTGCAGTCCAAATGAAAATCTTGTGTCTTTAAAAAAACAAAACAAAACTTGAAATCCTTATTCATAAACCTAGAGTCAGAGTGATGTAGTGGATAGAGTGATGGACTAGGAATGAGAAAGCCTAGGTTCAATTAGCCCCTCAACCATGGAAATTAATTGAGGGGTGCCACTGATAAAACTATTTCTCACATACCTTAATAGCCCTATTAGGCTCACTGTACATCAGGTGCAACTTAACAGTACCTGGATCTCATTGATAAACTAACAAACACTCAGAATTCTTTCTCCCCAGCAATCTTGTATTAGATATAGGCTGATGATTTCTTTTCCACCTGTCTTTTTTGGTTGAGGAGTTGAATGGAAAGATAGGTTAGTGCTAAGGAGAATTTTGGCCGAGATCCATTTTCCTTCTTCTAAAGTACTCCTCTTTGTAAACTTGGGTAGATTTATTTCTATTTACATTTAGGAATGAGGTCACTAAGGTTGGGAAGGAACAGCTCTTCTAGTTCATTACCCTTTTCCATTCTGCTCAAACTGCAGCTCAGCAGTGCTCTACCCTTTCTACTTCTTCAGAGACACAACGAAATCTCTGCACCACTGCTGAGCATTAGCAAGGAAAGAGAAGCGGCAGAAAGAACAGGTCTCCCTGGGCTCACTTTTATGAAGACCAGAGTGTATCTGTTTCTTTTACATTCCATAATTAGGTTGGCTGATGTAGCTGTTTGGTACTCTCTTTGTCCCATAAGGCTCTGTGTCTGAACTGGCAGACAGAACAGAACCTCTGTGTTATCCAAATCTAGATACCTACAAATAAGTGGCCTCTTATTCATTCTGCAACATGTTATGCCGTGAGCTCTCCCTTATGAGCTGGAGGGCTCAACATTTATTGTTTCCCATACAGCTGTGCAGCTTGTGTAGCAACATTTCCAACCCAGTTACAGTCTGGTAATACAATGCATACTCAGAGGACTTTAGGTAACATTAGCCAGGTAGCAAAAAGTTGTTCATGGGCTTAGAGTGGGTTTTGTTTTCCCCTTCAAATAAGGACTAAATAGCAGTAATATCCTAAAAGTAAGGCAGGGGGAACCATAATAGCAAGTGTACTTGCTATTTACAGTAAGTGACTAACTCTTTGTGCAACAAAACGTTTTCTAGAAAACAAGTGCTATAAAGAGAGCGACCAGTCCATAGGAATTTTTTTAGTACCACACGATTGCGGTCTCTTCTTTTCAAATTTAATATTTTCATGCTAAGCACCAAGTCAAAAGTGGCAAAATATTACTCTGCTTCAAAAATACTACTTCGCAAACTCATAACACAGAATTTCTTTTTAAAACCATGGATGCTGATACTTAGCTTCCATGCCATGAAATGGAAAGGAGAGCATCTTCTTTCCAAATGTTGCATAGAAAACTGTTGTTGATATCGTATCACTTCAGGAAAACTCAGTCTGTTTGATCATTTACCTGCAGAGGAGTTAAGGCCAACAAAGAAGTCTGCTTTAATTTTTTTTTATTTTAAGAGTTTGGGTATTCTCTTTTAATGATTCCACTAAACCTCATATAGCCCAGGAAACTATTGTAATGGGTGCATGAAAAAGAAACTTCCCTAACTAAATTTCAGCTAATTGCATCTTTTACCAACCCAGTTAAGATTTTCCTTTAACAAAGACACTGTTAATTCATATACATTTGACCTACATATCTATATTTATAGATATTTATGTCTATATTTATAGAGATGTAGATATACTCATCCTGCATGCCTCACTCACATCTTCAGCTTATATCTTATTACATCTTTCTGTTACTCCTAGGCTTAGAAGTAATATAGCTTCATTAAACCTCATCACAATTATACTCACTGTGGCACTTCAAATGCTTCCCTGCAGGGATGGAAGGAATGTTCAGCTGATGCTAATCAACATCTCATTGCTTGATACATTCTGTTCTCTTTAGTTAAATAAATGATTTTATCTTTACATTTAGTATTGGTAGGATTTTCTAACAAAAAACTACAGTATGATGGCTAAAAATATAAAAATGTGCAAATGACCAAATGTTGCTAAATACTCTACACATTCCCTGAGCATTTATTTCTAGGGAAAGTGTTCCAGTAGTATTGCTGCCAACGTTTCCTCTAAGTTTCTGTCCCACTGCATGGGAGCCTCACTCTGTGTGCATGGGAGTGGGTGGGGCTTCATTCAAAACAGGAATTAAACAAGCCATGTGCAGCCCCGACAGAGTTCTGGGTCAACGAGCATGAACGCAGCTTAGAAGGGACTTTGATTGCTTCCTAGTCTAACTGATGCATTATGGCACCATTGGCTATGATTCAGCAGACTGGAACTGTGTACATGTGAAATTTCACTTTGTAATGTCATAGGTAACACATTAGTAATTTGTCTTCTTTAGGATCTGTTAAAAACAAAAGAGTGGCACATGTCACCCACTTGGTTGGCTGGCTGGCTGGTTGGTTTCTTTTATATACCGCTCCCATAGTGCCACAGCACTATTCTGGGTGGTTAACAATGTAAAATGCAACAGAACAAACAAAATGTAATTCAATGCTAAAAACATAACATAAAAAAGTGCAATTAAATCAGCACCTAGTACTTTCTATGAACCCCAGGTCCATACATCAAATCAGTCATAGACTCTGGTTCATTTATACTCCTTTTACACATACCTAATTTATGTGGTGTTTCAACATTTTGTTATTCCTGTGAGCTATTTCTTCCAACAGAGTGGGCCAGTTTATTTCAGAACAAGTTTTTTCACCCCTTTCTGATGATGATGATGATAGATTTCAGAAGTTAATAGCACTGTTGCATTCTGTACAGTGTATTTTGATTGATGAGACTGTACAATTCCTAATTTGCATCATTTGTAAAGGAATGTTAAAGTGTTTCTTTAATTATTAATTAGTAAGCAACATTTCCATCTCCCAAAGGTTGTACCTTGGGTAATAACACTCACTCACTCAAATATTATCTCTCTTCAAGGCAGGGATCAAGGATATTTTGATTTTTCCTTTAGAAGGTGAACTCATGCATGAATTTTCACATAACTACATGCACAGGCAAGGAACTATTGTGATTCATGTGTCTATCGTTGCTCTTCTACTTGACATATCCTGTGCCATTCCTTTTTCAGGTAGTACCACAGCCATGATAACAGAAAAACCAACAGCAATTGACACTACAGTACAGCCAGGTATGTTCTAAGAGGGAGGGAATTGTTTCTGGGTAAGATATAGTACATTTCACAGTTGCAGCTTGTGCCAAAGACAAATATAATGAATTGCAGGACTTTCTGGCTTTGTCTTCCTTCAAAGTCTCTGAAGTATAAAGTAGCATCTGGTCTCCAAGCTCAGTACAGTAAATATTTTACTCCTTTCATCCACATGGATCTGCAGTACAGAACTAGCTTCCTGTCTGTATCAGTGCATGCCAAATAGTGACAATACTTCCAAAAAATGTACAGGCTAAATCACACAATGTGCATTTGGGGAGAGGGGGTTTTAAATAATTTTTAACTCACTTAGGGTCTGCGTTAGGTGAGATTTTGATGCTATACACCCTTGAAGCAATACACTCTTGAAAGGAAAAGACCTTCTGCTTATTCTGACATGAGTTTGCCTCAATTCTCTTTTGGCAAATTATCTTACTTTTATTTTGTAATTGGTCACTTGGGAGATAACATGTCTTTGTTTGCATGTCTGAAGCACATTAATACTGAAAGATTGGCATGCCTGAAGGAATAACATGATATGAGAAGGACATGCACATTACACATTTTCCTTGTCATGGCATCTGATATGATACCATAAGTGTTTGCAGAATAATAGGTAAAAGAACTATGAAGATTATCATTGCATTTTTTATGGATCACCAGTTAACAAAAAAAATGTATTTGCCAGGTTTCTTTTCCCCTCATGTTACATTTGGCAATTTTACAGTGTTTGACTAGGAGTTCTTAAAAAGAGGTTATGAAAACCGTTACCATAAACTTAGGCAAGGAGGAAAGAAGCTGTTAGTGGCAGCTGGTCTTCCCCCAATCAATACAATAGCTAATAGCTTTTAGAAAACCGTTTAATTTTCAGCTTCACGGGGCTTCATGCTATGACTTCTGGTCATTTTTAATAGTCTGCATGGGTTGAGAAAGAAAGAAAATTCACCCAAAGTTTCCTATGAACAATCAGCAATTTTCATTGCTTTGTGTTAATGATTGTAAAAGGGGGAAAAGGTCACTCCTCAGTCACTCCCATTTCCTTTAGACCACAATCAAGCACTGCCTCCAGAGTAATTTATTAACAGGGTGTGGATGTGTATACCAGTGTTTCAGCTACAATATGACACTATAGGCTTTGCTACAAGCAAAAAATAAATGTATGAGTAAGGACAGTGTTTTCTTCAAGACAAGGAGGTTTCAGGCCTGATTAGCCAAAAGGGAATGGAAAGAACTTAATTCCAACGTTGTTGTGGCTCTTAACCTCTGAGTTTCCATGGCAAATAGGTGAACATTTTCCTCTGCCTCAAAATATTTTCTTCCTCCAGGTTTGTTCAGTCAGCATATGCTATTGTGAGTGACATCCTGTTCTGTTATTCCTTGAGGCAGAAGGATTTGCTCTCTTTTTCTGCACCACCAAAGTGTAAAAAGTCTTGTTCAAACATTATAGTTACAGCTGCTTTATTTCACAGTAATCCTAATATCCCAAATGTCGTATTATTCCATTAACTTTTTAAGGATGTTCTTATACTGGAAATTTTTTGGGTTTTCTTAAATAAAAGCCAATATAGCCAAGTGCTAATAAGGGACAAAAAATCTCCCTAAACATCTGAGGAAGGAATGTTGCATATCATTTTAGATAATTTTTAGGAGAAAGATGGGATACAAATATTTTAAATAAAGAAAAATAATAAATAATAAAAATTATAGAAAAAATAAGAGTGACTGTTATCCTAGGAAATGTGTGAAAAAGATGTGTTTTTCGGAAGACATTCCATAATACCCTTTTTAGGCCAAAAATATTATAATAATATAGATCTGTAGGTTGATGTTTGTCCCTTATCAGCACTTGGCTATGTTTGACAAGAAATAGACCTGAATTAGCTTTTATTTATGTATTTCTTACATTTTTAACCTCATGTTTCTTGCAGTGACCTCTAGGGCAGCCTATGTAATCATTCTCATCCTCACTTTATCCTCACAATAATGTTGTAAATCAGGTAAAACTGAGAAAATTTGAATAGCCCAAGATCAGAGCTTGTGCCAGAGATAAATATAATGAATATCAGGACTTTCTGGCTTTCTCCTCAGATCGGATCACATAATTAGGGAAAATGTGTATGCCCTGCTCTTACCCTGTTATTCCTTCAGGCACCCTGTTCTTTCAGTACCTCAGACATACAAACTGTGAGTTTCCTAGCCAAGTGTGGATTTGAACGCCAGTCTCTCAAGTCGTACTTCATCACACTAGCTGCCACACTAATACAGCAACTGATGCTTGAGATGCTAAATAAAGATTAAGAATGAACAAAGCTTGTTCACACTTGTGATGGAAAGTGAAGCACAACTTTGGATCATGTAGGGCTTTTGCTACCCCCATATACTGTTTCCCTAGCAGAAACATTGAATTCTCCTCCCTCTATTTCTGTTACCATCTGGCATGCACAAGTGAAATACAGCTCATTTTGGAGAATGGCCCTTATTAGCACGGGAAGACAAGAACTGCAGCATCTTGACCACCCCTAGCCTTCCAACACCGGAGGCCACTGCCTTCATGTGCTTGAGCACATGGCTATATCCAGTAAAGATGTAGGTTTGGTTTCAGGAGCAATGTGGATCCAATGGACTCCCTAGAGAGGGAGACAGTCTCAGCTTTATCCGTGTCTCTTCAAAGTTTCCTTGTGGCAGCTAAATTGTTGCTGTCTTTCACATGGAATGTTTAATTATCCTTCACAATTTTGGGAGCAGGAGTCCACACTATACCTCAAATTGCTACGATTCTCACCAGGATCACAAATCATCCACCCTCCTCTGTCATTAACACTGCCATTACCCTAGGATATAGGTGATCACACGAGCCAGAAAGCAAAAACAAACCCCAGTGTGAATCCACTCGCTACCAAAAAGCAAACAAAAAACCCACTAGCCCCCACCAGCTGAACCAAAAGCAAGGAATGCCTATAGAAAATGATCAGTCTTAGTCATGATAGGCTGTATGTCTTGTGTGTGTGTGTTCTGTGCTGTCAAGGCTTTTTATATATAAAAATTCAGCATCAGTCAAGTTACAGTTCTTAAATTTAAGCTTGCATTTTCATGAATAAGCAAATTATGTGTCATTGCAAGATGTGCTGTCTAGTCAAAAAGAATGATATCAGAGTGACCACTGGAGCCCTAAGTTTGGGATGCTGAAGTTTGCTTTTTATGAAAAGAAGTGAAGTTTCTCCAGAGACTCACATTACAAACATGGAACATAACATCTCAAAGTGTTTCTCCAGCCTCACTACCGGACAAACATTGTTTCGGTCCTTTTGTAGTTTGGCCGTATGTGTATTTCCTCAGAAGCAAACTTCTCTAACCTCATTTCCTCCCAAGGAAGTGTGCTATGAGAGCGCAGCCCTAAACACTTCAGCCTTGTAAGGACACCATTGTAATGTTGTTCCATATAACAGATGATGGATGGCAGAAGCTTCTCACTCAGATCAATCAGTATTCTCCCTCTAAGCGTATTTGGTATTAAGGTTGTTACACAGGGTTGTTACTAAGCTTATATCTAATAAACCGTAATCCTTGCAGAAATGCATAATTAGATAAAAATAGAAAGCTAAGTTATTGCCTCAGGAAGATTCAGAGATACTGCAGGAGAAGATAATCTTAAAGTGAGATAAAGGTAAAGGTCCCCCTTGGCATTTAGTTCAGTCATGTCTAGGGCACGGTGCTCATCCCTGTCCCCAAGCCATAGAGCCAGCATTTGTCGGAAGACAGTTTCCGTGGTCACGTGGCCAGCACGACTAGACACGGAACACCGTTACCTTCCCACCGTGGTGGTACCTATTTATCTACTCGCATTTATAATATGCTTTTGAATGGCTAGGTTGGCAGGAGCTGGGACAAGTGACTGGAGCTCACTCCGTCGCATGGATTCGATCTTATGACTGCTGGTCTTCCGACCCTGAAGCACAGAGGCTTCTGCGGTTTTAACCCGCAGTACCACCACGTCCCTTAAAGTGAGATACAGAACCCCTTTAAAATGGCCTTCATACTTCAGGGTGTGTTAGTAGCCAATATGAAAGCAACCCCATGCCACTATCTCTGAAATATGAGAACTAAGTTGTCTCCCCCAAAGGAAAAAGGAAATTAAGTCCGAGAGTAGCAATTTGTTTAGGAACGAATGTTTATTTTAAAAAGATAAGAAGACAGGAGGTGCCTTGGCTCACCTAGCAACCAACACACAAACACACACGGCCATTTACTTGTTACTTGTACTTATGCTTTTAACTTCCAACACTCCACAAGCATTTTTAAAAGTAACATTTCTAGTGACAGCAAAACAAAATTGCCCCATCAGGATGCTGAGCTGCTGCCACTTGGTGACAGGTAGCTTCCATGCAGGGTAATGTAAAGTGGCCTCCCCATGAGGGCCGTAATGGACAAATCCTGATAATGGCATTGTTTCTTTAGAGTTTCCAAATGGTTGTGTGATTAGCTGCACCATGTCTCTCCTTACTTAGCAGTAGAGCTGTCATAATGTGTCAAAGCTCTATGGGTCAAGCATGACAAATGATACTGCAAGAGGTTTGCCCAGATGATAGTTCATGTACAGTATTAACAGTTCCAGCTGTGAACAAGATGTGGCCAAAAATGCAGCTGCTGGCTACTCTCACAGGCCAGATTTGTTTTAATTACACAGTACCAGGTACCTCAGTGCTTTTAAGGAGTCATATGGAGATATTGCTACACATCACACATCAATTCTAATTTAAACAGCTTGTTAGGCAGCCAGTGCACTCACTGTTGTATTCAGTGCCTTTTTGTGCTCTTCTGAAAAGAAAAAAAACCCCAAATCTGCAAATTATTTTTCCAGGCCGAGCAGAATATTTGCTGAATTAAAAGGACTTCTAGCTACATTGACTCAAGGCAGTAGCTTTCCATTAAGTTCTTCTCAGATGCCAGAACAGATGCCCAGCCAAGAAAGACTGTATGGCCCTTGGGTTTCTTAAAGTGTTTTATGTCGAGTGGAATAATTTGGGCTATTGCAAAGCAGCAAGCTTGTACTAACAAGAGCTGGCACTTGCTGACAGTAGATCCATTTCATCATAGGTATGATTCTGTGTAAAAGAGAGGAAAGAGAATGTGATTGTGTTGTGGCTTTTCTGTATGACAATGAGGGAAGGAAAGGTGTGTGAAAGTGAGATGGGGGGAAAGAGAAACAGGGAAGCTGGTGAAGGCAAGTTCCTCCACCAGCAGCTCCAACCATAATAACCACCACCTGTTTGAGTCTTCCAGCCCATTTCCCACTGCCATATGCAGCTCTTGAAGGCAAAAAGGTTGCCCACGTGTACTTCAAACAGTTACACATTGCATTTCAGGCATATCTGCTTTATCTTTCTGTATGTTCACTCACAACTAGATCAGGCAGCCCATACTACTGCAATCTAGAAATATATCTGGCTAGAATGAATTCATTTATGTAGCACAGCTAAGGCCAAACTTGTTCCACAGTGTGTTTATACTCTGTGGCAGTGGTTCCCAACCTTGGGTAACCCAGGTGTTCTTGAACTGCAACTCCCAGAAACCCTGGGCAGCACAACTGGTGGTGAAAGCTTCTGGGAATTGCAGTCCTACACTTGGGTTACCCGAGGTTGGGAACCACTGCTCTGTGAGACTAGCATGCCATACACTTGTAGTGTAATGTCTTTGCAAGCCATCTTTAGACCATCTTTAACTCTATCCTACAGTATATAACTTTTGTGCATATTTAGCCTATAGTTTATTCCTTTTCTCTATCTTTCTAATCTTTGTCCTTGAAAACCCTTTAAATAGCTGTAATGCACTACATGTACTTGACCAGCTGTGAATCAGAGCCTGCCAGCTGAAGATCAGTGTAGTGTGCCATGTTTTGTTATCATAGGAATGCTTCTAATGTCAGATTGTCCTCCACTATGTCATTCCTGTTGAAAGGCAATTGAATGGTTGTGCTATCATTCTTCCTAGTTGAAGCCCAAGGAACAATCAATCATGACAGCAAGACAATACTTCAAACGTGAGTTGTTCAGTGCTGTCATGAGATCCTTGGGAGTTTCTTTTCCTTTTTTTAATTAAAGAGAAGTAAAATAAAAAAAGTTGAGTTATGTCTTTAGGCATTCACTCTCTAACTTTGTGAAAGCGTACAGAAGGTTGTTCATTTTGGAACATTCCCTTCTTAAGGTGGGAGTTTTCTTCCACATGTCCTCAACTGCAAGAAAGGAATTTCACAAATTTTGGTTTTTTATGACACCCAAAAAAAAACCCTTTTTTCCTGCTAATCAAATTCCATGTTACAATGAAAAATGATAAACTGTTTTATGTAAGACCACTGGGCAGAGCAGGAACAAAGCTGGAAGCAAGATATGATCTCATTCTGACCAAAATAAGCTATATTATACTAGACTTCCCTTGTTTTACAAGGAGCTTCTTTTGAAGCTTCTTTTGTATTTTGTTGGCTACAGGCCATATTTTTCTCTTTCCAAATTTATTCATTTAAATACTGCCATCTTGTGGGTCAGTTTAAAGAGCATGTAAAAAACTTTGCTTCATTAAGTTATGATTATTTATTAATACATACAGTATGTTAAACCGGTTGCAAAAAGCAGAATATGTAAACACCCAAAAGACCTTTCACAGTGTCACGTAGACCAGAGCAAAAGGATAAGGAATAACTATGTCCTTTGTTTGTTGTGGGTTTTTCAGGTTCTTTGGCCGTGTTCTAAAGGTTGTTCTTACTAACATTTCGCCAGTCTCTGTGGCCGGCATCTTCAGAGGACAGCACTCTTGTGCTCTGGTGTAGCTTGGGAGATGCCGGCCACAGAGACTGGCAAAATGTTAGGAAGAACAACCTTCAGAACATGGCCAAAGAGCCAAAAAATCCACAAAAACCATTAGATCCTGGCCATGAAAGCCTTCGTGAATAAACTATCTCCTTTCTTTATTTTATTTTTTTCATTTTGAGTTCTGCTAGAGCTGATTTCTTTTTTGTGATTGCCAGATAAGGTCTGAAACTAGCCAGGAAATTCTCCTGATACATATTTGTGTCTAGAACATTCACCGAGCCCAGAAAGAAACAGAACAATCCCCTGTTGCATAGAATGAACTGAGGATATTCTGCATGCAAGGCATGATGCTCTGTTTCCAAGCCCTGGTCTCTTCCTCAAAGTCGTATCTCAAAGTCAGCTTCAAGCAGACACCCTGAGCTGACACAACATGCTCCTTTGCACTTCTGCGATGCTTTCTGCATCAAAATGCCGCATGATTGGTGGGATGGCTGGTGTGCTTACCCAAGAAGCATATTCAGGGACTTGTATACTAGAAACAGAGTGTTCTTCCTCACTGATAGTTTGACTCTCACACAGTGAAAGAGAAAGGGATTGTTTTTGATTTATCATAAGATAAAATGCCCAACTAAACAGTGTCTGATCAGCTAAGCTAACCTCAGTTAAAAACCAGGGTATTTATTAAAATCAGAAAATGAGAAGGCAGCATCTTCTACCAGATATTTAGATCATAGCACAAAACACAATGGTTGGATGCAAAAGATGGGCAAATGAATAGTTTTAAGGCAAGGATGGATGAAAGTGATGCATGAAAGCATGGCTTAGTTTTTATGTAATGCCAAACCATGGTTTAGTGCTGTGTTCCCTGCAACATTGTATGGCAGCTCCAAAGACCACCCCCAGCAAGTTCCCCGTTAGTAGCACCCACTATATGCTGAGGTTTACTGTATGGTCATTGCAGGCTGTAGAGAATCTACTATTTCGTGTTCCCCCAAAGACTTGGAGCCATGCTCTTTCACACTGTCAAAACAATGGGCAGTTTGCAGGTGGTGTAATAGCAGCTGAAACTTATCCCTTCCATCAGTGCATGGTGCTGTTTATACCTGGCACTGGCCTTGCTTCTCTCCCTGGCTCCCACTAGGTTTATGCCAAACCACAGTTTGCTGTTACAGCTACCAACAAACTATGTCAATCAGATTCTTTTTCTAAGAATTCACTTAGCATCAAAACACTGCCTTGATATATGAACTGAGCGATCATCTTCAGGAAATTGGGCTATAGAAATGCTATTGAAAACATCTGGAGAACATGAGTAGAATGAACTTAAGAGGAATTTTTCAAGTGAAGTACAGTATTGACTTAGCAATGTATATTCTCTCTCTCTCTTTCTCTCTCTTTGACCCCACTTCCACCAATCCTCAATCCATTTGAAAAAAAGAACTTCCAGCCTATGGTTTCAACTGCGGATTTGGCTATAGTTCTCAGAAGACAGTCTGCCAGTGGGAGCATGATAACCAAGTGGACCTGAGGTGGGCAGTGCTCACCAGCAAGACAGGACCAATTCAAGATCACACAGGTAATGTAAGGTTCACATCTGAAGGGGGGGGCAATGGATAAGACAGCATAAGCATAAGACAGTGTTTCCCAACCTTGGGTCCCTGATACTACAACTCCCAGAAATCCTGGCTAGCACAGCTAGTGATGAAGGCTTCTGGGAGTTTTCATTCAAGAACATCTGGTTGGGAACCATTGTTATGAGACCTTTATGTTATTGGATTTCACACTGAGAAAACAGACAGTGCCATTTTAAACCCCTTCCTAGAATCAGATTCAGATTGATGCTACTCTGTCATGTGTGGTGGAGCCTTTTTGTTTGTAGCACGTAATTTCTGCAACTTTTTCGAAGTACTCCTAAATCAGGATACTTTTCAAGACACTTTATACAGCTTCTTTGTTAAGCAGGCTTCCTTCTTTAATAAGATCTTAAGCCACCACGTACTTGAAGCCTGCTTCTGAATGTCACCACCAAAGCCTGGTGAGCAAAGGGCATTTTGTGACCCACAATGTCTCTCAGTTATTCTTCTATTTTTCATTATGCAGATAAGTCATATGTGCTAGCACTCCTTTACTTAATGAGAATGACAAGGAAATTGGACAAAATTGGGCTTCTTAAATCTAGAGACACTTTCAATTGAGTCTTAAGACAAGTATATTTCATTTTAGGGGGTGGGGGAAAAACTTTAAAAAATACTTTGACTATAAATGGCACTGTACAAATAAATGGCACCAAATTAAGAAAAAAGGCAGTTAGCTGAAATGAAGGCTGTAATAATGGGGAGAAATTGATGCAAAGTAAAATGAAATGACTCAGTAAGATCTGACATTGAAGGGAGGTTAAAAGCCATGTTAGCCAAGGACTGACAAAATCTAAAAGGCATGCATAAGTTGAGCGCTAATTAAGACAAAGAAGGCAGGGTTCCTGACCTAGCTCTGCAATAATATTCTTGAAATCAAAAATATTTGAACTTTGCCTTCAGTGTCTTGAGACAAGCACAACGTGTCCTCTTTGAGAAGGGCTAGAGACAGGGGAGGGAAGACAGTTCTTAAAGGAGGTTTTGTTAGAGTTTCATACAGCTTTTGTATCCCATAGCTGTAGGTGTAGCCTGCATAATTAAATTGTAAACCACCCAGAAAGTGCTTTAAGCACTATGGGACGGTACACAAGCAGCACACTTTGTAATCTCACAGGATTGTGGGTCTAGTTTCCTTTTTTTAATTTTTCCCCCCTGCTGCAATACTCTTCACAATCCTCTGATCATTATGTCTCTATTTAAAGGGACAAATCAGCTGCTACACAAATGCCATAATCACATTCAGTCTTTTATGAGAAAAGTGGTTATAAATATTATTGGTCGGTCGGTCACTCAGTTGGCTGGTTGGTTGGCTGGTTGAAGAAGTCCAACTCCTGTCAAAGAAGCACAGTGGAAAAATTAACTCCCAACCTGCGGCTCCACTTGTAAGAGTTCTTACATCCTGGCTCTGCCACACCTGATTGGCACTAACCACCACTAGAAAGGTGGCAGCATTAACAGGAGCTTCATTTGTCTATCTCTCAATGGACAGAGGTTATGCCTAAGGATGTTTTTCAGTTTTGTTAAGTCCTTATTGGAATTAAAAGAATGCTATTTTCATCTCCTGAACTGACATATGAGTCAGAAAACAGTTATACTTTCCATTTTGCTCTTACTTGAATTTGCGATGTCAACCTTTTGCTGAATAAATGGATGAAGATATATGAAAAACATGGATTTTACAATTAAATGCATAGTAGAGTAGTTGACTTGGGTTGACTGGTTAACTCAACCCTCAAATCTAAATTCCATTGATTCAACAAATCTACTATAGTGGGAACTAACAATTCTCACTATAGTAGAAACAAAACTACAGATTTATATGGAAACAGAATGGAACTAAAAGTCTTAGAACAAAAATAGTTTGATCAATGAATTCCTAGTTGTAAGAACAAAGAAAACCTTGAAGCCATGGCCAAAATCCAGTAGTAAGTCACAACTAGAATAGGCCCATTGAATCAATGACACTTGCATAGGTCTTGACTCACCAAATCCCCACTGATTCAATCAGCCTACTTTAGTTGTGACTTACTACTGGATTTCAGCCAAAATGTGTTATTTACATCACTGCATTTGTAGGATTGATAATAAAATATTTGGGAGATTACAATATGTTCATGGAAGATCACTAGAACAAGGGATAGAAGACTTCTCATTAACAGTATAGTTTTATACAGTGCAATAGGCCTGAAGCCTGCCATTCCTATATATACATTAGAGGGGCTGTGTCACTGGGAGAATTTTATGACGTGCTTTTCTAAATATCCAAATGTCATTGGCTGAGCTGGCTGGGCTCCTGGGAGTTTTATCCAAAAACCATCTGAAGAACTTCAAGTGGCCCCATTTTGCCTTAGCGCATGTGGTCCACTGATGTCATGCATCTTGGTTCAACGTATCCTGCTTATTCCTGCCCGTAGTCCAGGCCAGAATTCGTGTCCTTCCTGCCCATGTTATAAGCTGAATGATCCAACTACCCCATATTCTTTTACCTTATGGGATAATATATCAAGAGAATTCTCATATAATTAAGGGGAAAGGGGGGGAAGAAGAAGGGGAAAGTTGAAGAAAATGCATTTAATGCCCTTCAAGTCTTCTCCAGGCATACAATTCTGTTGCAAGTCTTTAGATAAGCCCAGATCTGTTTTGGAACACTTGAGCTTCATCAGGCTTAAAGGAGCCCAATGTGGGCCATTATTTCTAATGCATTGCTTTTGTCACAGCAGGAGATGGCAATTTCATTTACTCACAAGCTGATGAAAACCAGAAAGGCAAAGTTGCACGGCTCATCAGCCCCATCATCAACCCACAGAACTATGCACTCTGCATGACTTTTTGGTATCATATGTCGGGACCCCATATTGGCGTGCTAAGAATCAAACTGCGGTATCAGACACCTAAAGAGTATGAGCAAGTCTTATGGATGCTGAGTGGAAATCAGGGAAACCGTTGGAAAGAAGGGAGGGTCCTTCTCCACAAATCTGTGAAACATTATCAGGTAAGTAAAGGAAAAGTGGGTACAAAAAGGTTAGTGATAGAACAGAAGGCCCTGAGTTCCAGATCCATGGAATCTTTGTTTTAAAAAGAAGATTCTAAGGATTGAATCTGGAACCAGTTGCATGTAAAGCATCTGTTCGCCCACTGAGCTGTGGGCTTTCGTGTGCTTCCTCACTCTGTCTCCCTTCTAGTCGCTCTCTCCTTTCACTATTCCAGAGCATAGGAAAGTTACTTTTTTTGGACTACAATTCACACACAAACATGCACAGCCAGCACGACTAATGTTCTGCAAATGGAACTTGTCTGAGCTCTGCTTCCAAACAGCAGGCTGCTGGGGAGGGTGAGGAACTCTGTTGTCAGCTGTCCAAACTGGTCCCACAAGATTGTTTTTGACATTAATCTGAGGAGCACAAATTGGCCATCCTTGCTTTAAAACTATCTTGGGGATAGAAAGGACCTCTTCCTAAGGACTCGGAGATCTCAAAGGAGAGGAAGATTGTTCAGCTGGGGTGCCACCCCCGAGAAGGCTCTTTTCTGGTCACAGTGCTTCTTGCCTCGGATAGCCAGGTGCCTGCTGGAGAGCCTCTCAGAAGAGAGTGAGTGGCATTTGCCACAGCACTTCTAAACACGGGGGCAAAAGCAGCACTTTCTTCAGAGGGGTTTATAGATCAAGTGCCTACTGACCAAAATGCTGATTGCACTTCTTTTCTGTTTATTTTTTTTCATTCGTCATTTCATCCTAACATATGTAGGAGGACAGCCCAACGTACAGCCCACAGGCCACATGTGGTCACTCAGGGGCATTTTTATGGGCCTCCAAAGGCTACCTCAAAACTCCCCCAATCAAAAGAAAAGTTAAAAGCCATATTTCCTTCCCTGGAGGAAATATGGCTCCAGGAGGGAGAGTTTTTGCATAAAGGGCCTACTGTAAGCCTGCCCTTCAATTAAAAAATTAAAAGCAGAAGTGCCCACCCAGTTTTTTCATAGCAGAATCAGCTATTTCTATGCCTAGTGGGGGGGCCAAAAAAGTGGTCCTCAAGCTCCCTAAGGCTGCCCATTCTTGGTATATAGTATGGGAGAAAATCAGGTTTATGTCGCTTGTGAGAAAATAGCCAAGTTCATTGGGACAGATCATATACCTGTAGGTATATCCAAACGTATAGTATTTCAGAACAGTTCATATCAGAAAGGCAGGCCTTTTTTTCTTTTTTACAAATTATCTTTTACAAACCATCACCCCCCAAATGGTGGCTCACTTGTCACTTTTGTAAAGCTGAGAAATTTGTGTGACATCTTCAACCTGAGCAGGTGCCAAAGATATTGTATAGCTTCGTGCTAGTCATTGAAACGCTTCGCAAATAAATAAATGCCTAATCTTTGTGTCGCCATTAGGTCCAAATCAATAAAATGCCATTTATTTTTATCAGGTGGTGGTAGAAGGAGAAATAGGAAGAGGAAATGGAGGAATTGCAGTTGATGACATTAACTTTGACAGCCATATAGCACAGGAGGAATGTAGAAGTAAGTATAACTTGGTAGAGACTGCCAGACATCTCATGCAGAAATCTATGAATACTGCTCATGGTAACTTGGTAAATACTCAATGAACCTATTCGTGTTTCCACCATCCAGAGTAATTTACCATATTTTCCCGTGTATAAGACTGTACTTTTGTCTAAAATCTTTAGAATAAAAATTGAGGCTCATCTTATACATGGAAGTAAGCTGAGAAGAGAACAAAAACAAGTGGAGGGGAAAGCATGGATCAAAGTGATCCTGCAGGGCTTTGATCCCTGCTTTCCCTTCCACTTGCTAAGCCCCACTTAGATTTCTTAATTTTGGGTTAGAAAAGGGGGTGTATTATACATGGGGGTGTCTTATACATGGAAAAATATGGTATAATGTTTGTGTTGCTCCAGGCCTCTGCAAAATTTGGTATTTTAATATTGGACTTTGTCGAATATTTGCCTCTATGTAGGTTATTTTATTTCATTTTATTTACGCTCCAAATAAAATAAAACAGGAGACCTAATGTGGTTTCCATTATAACGTGGTTTCCAAGTTGTGAGTTGTTTAAAAAAAAAACACAAGTTGAGTCTGAGTCAAGTCAGTGGTGCAATTTAAGTCCAACTTGACAGTGAGTCCTGCAGTTGCTGGATAGCTTGGTGGTTTAGGTACCTGGCTGTGAAGACAGCGCCTGGGAGTTCAGTTCCGCACAGTGCCTCCTTGATGGGCTGGACTTGATGATCCATAGGGTCCCTTCCAGCCCTGCAGTTCCAAGATTATTATTATTATTATTGTTGTTGTTGTTGTTGTTGTTGTTATCCCTGGCGCTTGGTGTCTCTCCTCAGAACTATTTTTCTGTTTTTTATTATGCTTGTCAAATTTAGCACGGTATCAGATAAGTGTTATGTCCCTTCAGAATTTTTTTTTAAAAGATGGAAGAGTAAGAATATTAAGAGAACAGGGCTATGTTCCGAGTGGAAACTGAACCAACTGAGAGATGGAGTGTGGACTCTTGCAGTGGCTAATTAATCATTTCAGTGTAGACAACTATAGCCATTTCAGCAATAGAAACCAGCAAGGACCCAGTTTAAAATACTTCAAAGCAAATCAAGTGTTTTTCTCTGTATAGTTACACCTTTAGGCAAATAGAAGATTCAATTGTTTTGGTTATTATCAGTCTAGATGCTAGACTCTGAAAGTTCTTTCTGCAATTAACCTCACATGTTTCTGGTCGTTTAAACCAGACCATGATTTATGGAAACACATCTCAAGTTCAAACCACGGATCTCTCTAATCTGAAATCCTTCCTTCCACGCTGCAGACAGCAGAACAGTTAAGAGCTCCTTGTATATGATTAAGGGTTTTGGAGTACTGGGCTCCAACATTATGAATGCGCTGAAGGAAACATGCTAATTTCACCTGATTTTCATTTTCCAGAGACAGCAACCCCTGCTGATAAGTCTAAAATTGTGCCAAGCTGGGGTGGAGGGAGGACTTTTAAACCTGCTTTTCTTTTTTGCTAATTTTGGGAGACCAGGTTAATGAGTAGTTCTGTCAAGCTGACATAATCACGCTCCAAGACAGGAGAAGAATTCTCGGTACTATTATTGCCAGCATGATGGCCAATCAGTATTTGTCACCCTAATAATCCATGTCAATTCTCTTTGCTTGATAGAATCAAATGATGCAGGAAATGAAATACTCAAAGTAGAGCCAGATATTAATCAAACAGGTAAAGTCTTTTTTCATTTTTTTTAAAAAAATCATTGATTGTCTTGTATATCTCAGAATTATGCTGATTTACTTGAATCCCCACAGCAAGACATCTTCTATAAATCTATGTAGGATTTGTTTACAGGCATTATGTACATTTTGTGCATTTTTAAATGTATAGCCTCTCCTTAAAATGTGTTAAGTCTGGAGCAGACCAGTACAGACAATACCATTTGTTTCTTCTCTTTTGCACATTGCAGGTGATGTGAGAGAGGCTTCATTACTGGTACTGTGTACTGATTTTACTGAACTGTTGTCTTCCAAAGACTGTCTGGGGAAATCAACAGTGGCATGAGCAAAGCTCATGGTAAAAAATGGCAAAACAAGAACTTATTTTGCTTGCATCAGTGCAAGAAGATGGTTCTGATAGTTTTAGCTAAACAGAGTTACTCTGTGTCAAACAACGTCCAAGAATAAGATTGGTGTATTATGAATGATTATTTGGGAGGTCACATATGCGCACACACAGATGCACACACAAACTAGTATCCCAGATCTCAAGCACATGTACTAATTTACAAGTGCTTTTGAATCACAATTTGTTGCTGTTGTTGAAATCTTGAACACACCTGACCTCATCTGATTTTAGAAACTGATCAGGATTGGTACTAGGATAGGGGGAAACGAGTGAATGCCAGGAACATCTCCAGGTAGGGCTAGGCAAGAATCCTGTTTAAAACACTGGACAGCGCTGCCAGTCAGAGTTAACAGTATTGGCTTACAGGGACCAATATTCTGATCTGGTATGAAACAGCTTCTGATGTTCATACACTACCCTGAACACATTGATGTTAGTTTTGGATGTTAAGCAGAGTCGGCCCTGAATATACTCAGCCTCTGATCAGAGCTGCTCCTCTTTGTTCTCACTGCAGAGTTTACTCCAGATTACCCTGAAAATGGGGAGCACTACGACGATAACATCTCCAGAAAGCCGGGTAATGTTCTGAAGACTCTGGACCCCATCTTGATCACCATTATAGCCATGAGTGCTCTCGGAGTGCTTTTGGGAACCATCTGTGGAGTTATTCTGTACTGTGCCTGTTGGCACAATGGAATGTCAGACAGAAACTTATCTGCACTGGAGAACTACAATTTTGAACTTGTGGATGGTGTGAAATTGAAAAAAGATAAACTGAATGCACAGAATACTTACTCAGAGGCATGAAGGCATAGGAGCAGCTAAAGGATTTTTTATTTTATTTTTTATTTTATTTTTTTGGAGAATTGAGATGGTGGAAGGACATAGAACTAGCTGATGCTGGGGAACTGTGGATCTTCTTTTACTGTACAGGCTGAAAACTGCGTTGGGGACGCTGAGCCAAGCTTTTCTCAGGAGCTTCAGTGAGTGTAACAGATATACTAAAACATGGACAACAATCTGTGTTAAACAATCTGAATCATGTACAGTCTACTTCTGTTTCTGATTTAATTTGAAATAATCAAATGCTGGTGTTGAGACCAAGTATGATTGACTTAAGGGGGGTGTTTGAATTTTTGTCCCTTTCTTTTTCTTCTTTCCTTTTTTTTTAAAAGCCTCCCTCTCTTCTTGATTTTTGTTTTCTTTTTTTCTCTGCCCCCCTCCCTGGTCCCATTTGATAAGTAACTTTTATTTTTTTACTGTGCAAAAATCCAAGATGCTGTCACAAAGTGTATTTTGGTGGTGGGGGGTCCTTTGAATGGACATGCTTTCTGTAGCCCAGGAAAAAAAGAAAATCAGAGTAACAGCAACTTAGTGGATTCCTGAACCTGTATTTGTGTATAATTGCTTGTGTTGTGCATAGGCAAAGAGGGTTAGGGTGTTTTTTGGGGGGCGGGGAAGTACTGTCTCATCAGTACTGGTATAGTGTGTCAGCTCTGTTTACCAAGCAATACAGTCAGAATTTTATTGGTGTTTCTCAGTGTTGTACTAAAACGTGTGCTTGTGAATTCCATACAAGAAATATGTGCCATCATCCAGAAACAAGGGGCAAACCAAGTGCATTGCCTATAATTGGAATGAAAACAAAGCAAAAGTCCTTGGCACTGGCTAGTGTAGGTCCTCTCAAGTGCCTTTTTGTTTGTAGTGCTTCTCATTGTATTAACGTTAACTCCAGCTCTGTCTCTCCCCCCCCCCCAGTTAAAGTAAAG